TTTCAATAACTGCCAAGAATTTGTACATTACGCATGGAACATAATCTGACAATAATAAATGGATGGTTCAGAAGCCCAAAACTTTCATGTCACCGAAGTTATTACACAGAAATTAAGAGTTTTATTTAGTCCCACTGAAATTAATTAACAAGATATGTTAAAAATGTATTTTATGAATTGCTTCTTTTTAATAATTCAATTCCTATATTGGTATACAAAGAACATGTTACACTCAACAAACTAAAAAAATCAATGTTTCATACACTCACTGGCTTCTAGACCATCCATATTTATGCAGCAAGGTGGAACCTGCTTAGGAATTTCAGGTGCAAGGGGTACAAGACGCAGCAGTCAAGACAGATTCAACTTTTCGCGCAGAGCAGTTCAAACAGAGCGTGAAGACTGTTAGCTGCTGAATTCAAGCAAAAGAAATCAGGCACTGCTCAAAGAAAATGGGGCACAGCGGAATTGGCCGCAGCGGTGCGCCACCAACGACAGAAAGACGTCGGTTCCAGACGCAAACTCCAATATTGCACAGCATTAACAGGACACTGATCCTACACACTTCACTCAAGTGTAAAAGTATCATATAAATGCCATAAAAGTGTTGCATTTACAAAAAGCTGCAGTTCTTGTACCAGTCGATGCTAACACGTCTCATCCTCATTATTTTCAACTTTGAACATTCTCTTCACATGGTCTGCATTGTTTTCACTACCTGTAAAAAGAAAATAATTTTACTAAGTGTCCGATCAAGACACACTTTATATTTATATTATTTAGTGTTCTGTCTGACAGGTCCATATGAACAGGATCCTTCCATCCTTTTCTCGGACTGGGACCTGTTCATATACGTTCTTGGCAGAGGATCCAGAAGTGGTTTGCCATTGCCTTCTTCTGTGTGTGAATGGAGTAATTGTTGGGATGCCACGGAGGAAAACTCCGTGTTGCCTAGACCACGGCCTCGCCCAACACAAGTTATAAATTCGGGCACCGCCGGGAATCGAACCCGAGACCCCAGGATTACAAGGCCAGCGTTCTAACCGCTAGACCACCGTGGCTGTCAAGACACACTACCTCCATTTAATTATAAAACCATGATGCTTCTTGTTTGGGCAGATGGAAGGCAAATTCGTTACACTGGCATGTGTGATGGTTTTTTTTAGTAATACTAGAACTTTCTATAGCTCTATGAAAAAGGATAAAACTAAAAGATTCTAAATTACATTAGTAAATTATAAAGTACATATGGTACTTGTGGGTTATCGGGACACGTCGCTTTAAAAATATGTTAGGTTAGGTTAATGTGTGTGGATAAATGACATATACTTATTATATTTTATTTCAATAAATGACAAGTATTTTTAAAGCGATGTGTCCCGATAACCCACAAGTACCGTACATACTAACGACTGTGCAGGCCTAAGAAAATATACTGTCATAAGCATTACGCAACATTAATTAATTGTTTAGTCCTTTTAGATTTAAGGCCATCTTCAGTAGTATAAAGTACAAATTTACTATTCCTAAAATTCAAAACAAACCAAGTGTTTCATGTAATGGTAATTATCAACACAAATAAAATGAACAATTTGCCTTCAAGTTCAGCATGTGTACACTTTTGGCTTTGATATGTACGTTTGCTAGTTCTTACATCAAAACCGTAATTTCACGTATTTCAATTCCATGTTAACTTTTTTCCACTAAACCATGCAACTTTCTACTTATTAACACCAATGTCACAAGCGAGTGCTTAGCACTCCTGCCTCATATTCAGGAGGTCCCGGGTTCATACCTCAGACTAGAGAATGCCTCTCCAGACAGGTCCTACAAGACTTTTCTCATTTCCGCGATCCAAACTACGGGATTCAGAGGTAGTTCAATGCCTCCATCATCAGGGAGATGAGTGGTGATGGAGACAATATAATATTGGTCAATTTTTATGAGACTACATGGCGCAACATCCCAAAAGACATTGCCTTCAGTCATCCCACCATTTGACACCACTCAGTCTGAGGTACTGATAGCTTCTTTAAATAAACTACCTGCCTTTAGTAATCTACTGCCACACTTATGTCTGAAATATTCAATTCTGTCCGAGTTCAAAAGATTTCTTTACTAACAAACTGGAATATAACTGTCAATCAATCCCAAGAGTCAGTTTTTATAATCCAATTTTTGGAAGCTGAAGACCAATCTGTTATTTCTAACATAACAGTTACTTAACTTCCATACCACATAGCTTCTAGAGAGTAAATCTCTCCATATCAAATTCTTGTGTCGCTAGTTTACTTACCAGATAGCTCCCTAAGTTTTGCAACCACCAAACAGTGGCCAGTATCACAATCAGCTACTCTGAAAGATCACGTATCTCAATTGCCCACCTTCCGTCTATCAAGATGTGATCAACATGACTGTCTCTCTCTGTCAGGAACAGTCAATGTGTATTTACAAACTTTGCGATGTCAGAATAACGTATTATGATAATCATATTGACTCTAAGCCCCATTTTCACTACCAGTTTCATGAAAATTTGCAACTGCCATTGTGACAAAAACGTCCTTCTTTACACTTGATCTCTAAACATAATTTTCACGTGGTACTTAGGGAATTAATCAGACACTAGTCTAGTTCTTTAGATGTCTTTGTATAATCACTTTTAACTTCAGAACTATAATACGACACCTACAGCCCCTTATCACATCTTACCACTAATAATCTCAATCCTCTTAACTGCCTGATTTATGTAAGAAAAAGGCAATCTCGGAGTAATGACATGAAAATAAAATCCTGGATTATACCTACCTAGCTGACTACAGTAATCTCCTGCCCCCATTCTAAGAATGTAAGGTATCACACTATCTATCTGGACATTTCCTATCAACCCAGCAAAGAACAGCTCTTCCATCACTTGTGGTTGAAGCGCTCGCAAAGGCGGAAGTCTCAGGAGAAGACGAGGGAACCTATCCCTGTCATCGGGGAAGGTCTGATTCACGTAACTGCGGAGTTCTTGAAACGCCTTCTCCTGAAATTTCTCTACCTGTCTCCTTGCCAGCAGCCCAGGATGATCTGTAACATCAAAATTGGTAAACGAGTACTTTCAGAGTCCGTAAGAACATCAACAATCCCTTTCCGCGTGCCGGTAATCTTTAAAACACAAAAGGTTATGGCTGGAACTGAGCATGCATATTATAGAAAGTGATTGATAAGATTACAAACAAAGGTTCAAACTACATCAGCCTCGGAGTGGCATGATAACAATGCGGAATTATATTAAACTTCCACAATGGTTTGTAGCAACTGCATGAAAGTAATACATAAGTCACATTTTTCTATGCAGACATGTTCCTTAGTCAGGTAAAGATGGCGTTTGTGTTAGGAATTCTAGTTATTAATAAAGACTGCCTCCACTTTGTCAAACTCACCTGCACTAAAAAGTGTTATTGCCTTGAGGTACGCATATTCGTGTTCGTCAAGCTGTAGTCGCGCCATACCATTCACATACTCTTGCAGTTTGCAGATATGATCCGTTACCTGCGACAACACACGACAACAAAATGAAGGACACTCGAATCACACACTCTTATTCAAATATGCAGTGGTGACACAGAACAGCAGAATGTGTTCTTGAAGACGTATCAGTGAAGTGGCACATGTGAAGTGTGCTGGACGAGGGTAAGATGGTGCTACTTGAGGGGGGAACACTCCTACAAAATTTTAGGCATACATTTATCTCACCAAACGCATTTCAGCCTTAGCAGGCCATCATAAGAGGTACAAAGATGTGTTGTTAACAAAAACATTAACATATTAAAAGTAATATTATACATTGCAGATACCAATGTCATTTCGTACTTCATATCTACTACAGTGTATGTAGCACCATGTTAACTCCTCACCGTCGAGGGGCGTAATATACATTGCAGTTACCAATGTCATTTCGTACTTGATATCTACTACAGTGTATGGAGCACCATGTTAATCATATCTGTTATAAAATCCCATTAGTCACAGTTCACTCAATTCATTTTCTTATTCCTTTTGTTATATTTGCAATGTACAGCTGTTTTTGTCTGTGGTGAAAGTGCATTGGGGGACTGCAAGGCTTAAACGTGTATGGACAGTCTTGCTGGTGACTGGTCACGCAAACATTCATGGTACTTGACAAATCTCTGTTACCTACGATTATGTAAGAAAAAAATATATACCTAAAACATTGTGTAAAAGTGGTTGGTTATTGTAAGTGTTAGGATTTAACGTTTTCACGGCGGCGAGTCTGAAGACGATGTCTTCTGGGTTGTTGCACCATGCATCAGGTAGACGTTTACCGACGTTTCAGAGGTCATTGCTGCCTCCGTCATGACCCTGATGATGGAGGCAGCAAGGACCTCTGAACCGTCAGTAAACTTCTTTCAGACGACACTACACAACAACCCAGAAGACAGCCATCTTTTATTATTGTTGTTATACACTATTGCATGCTTATATTGGGTTTTAGACTATTATGTAGTAGCCTATACGACTTTATAATGAGAAGAAAATTACATTATATACACTATTTTTACGTGATTTGAAATTAGCGGTCTGTATACATGACCACCAACTGGTTGTTAAAGTCAATGTTTACATAAAATTACCTGTTTTATATGTAATGCCGAAATCTTCTCCTGCACGACTGAAGCTTGCAGATGATTTATTATTGATGACAGAATGGTGGGCAACGATAATATTTCAGAACACTGCGCCAAACCCAAGGCAAAGAGTTCAGCCCAGCAGCCACGTACCAGGACCACACGGGTATCAGAACTGAAAGTGCACACAGAAGCAAAACTATTTACTACGCGTCTGGCAATTTATGATAGGAAAACAACAACAAAAATATTCAACATAAGAAATACTAACTTGAAGTGGACCACACAATTTCTTTGAAAGCATTAGAGTATCCCCTGTTATACACCATGTTTCAAAAGTAGCTTTACAACTTCGCAGGAGAATATAAATTTATTTAAAGGACGTGCACAATATTTTTAAATACACAAATTTAGCCAAACACATCAAGTTTCATGCACATAAACTGTAGTACCGAAAACCGTGTTTCTGAAGACGCTTTGGAACAGATTAGGGAGGGCTTTGCTCGAAGTGCACGCAAGTCAACGAGACGTGCATCTCGGGAAAGAGGGATTCCACATGAGACTGTGTGGTGAGTGTTACGAAGACGTTTACACTTAAGAGCGTACAGATTATCCATGGTGCAAGCCATTTCAGATGGTGATAAACTGGCTCGTAAGGAATTTTTTTGCGGAAATGTTGTGGCGGGTTGAAGACGGCGAAGGATTTCTGGACTCTGTAATTTTCAGTGACGAAAGCACGTTCCATGTCACTGGTAAGGTCAACACCCACAACTGCAGGATTTGAGGTAGTGATCCACGTGCCTTCCTGGAACATGTTCGTGACAGTCCAAAAGTTAATGTTTTGCGCCCTCAGCAAAGATAAAGTGCACGGCCCCTTCTATTTCATGGAGAAGACCATTACCGGCATCGTGTATCTGGACATGCTCCAACAGTTCCTCATTCCTCAACTTGACAAAGATGACCAGGAAGGACGCATTCACTTCCAGCAAGATGGTGCACCCCCTCATTACCTCGGAGAAGTGCGCAAGTACCTAACAACCGTTTTCCAGGTCAGTGAATTGGTCGGGCCGCACCAATAGCATGGCCACCTCGTTCCCCGGATCTAACACCTTTAGATTTTTTCTTGTAGAGATTTGTTAAAGATCGAGTGTACGTGCCACCCTTACCTGCAAATGTGGCCGAACTCCGAACTCGAATTATCGCTGCAGTTGCTGAAGTGACACCAGAGATGTTACACTGCGTGTGGCAAGAAATTGACTACAGATGGGACGTCTGCCGCATGACAAACGGGAGTCACATTGAACCATAAAATTCCGATGGACATAAAACTTGAAGTGTTTGACTACATTTCTTTGTTCTGAAATTATATGTTTCTCCTATCAGTTCACCAATATCTCGCCCACAAGTTGTAAAGCTACTTTTGAAACACGCTGCATTACACAAGTACAGTACTGCATTAAACTATGAAGGAGAGTCAGAATGGTTCCGCAATGATTTATTTTACAGCTTCTTGTGTTGGCTGCACTGCATATATTGTACACAGATAGAAGCAAGAGCACTCTACATTATTGTGAAACACTTTCACCTTAACATGGCTGCTCTATTTTCCACATGTAACAAAAAAGAAAAGCATGCAGTGATAAGATTTCTATGGGCTGAAGCTATACCAGGGACAGAAATCCATCGCAGACTTTCAGGACAACATGGAAACTGTACTTTATCACAGCAAAGTACGTACGAATGGAAAACCATGTTCACAAACGGTTGCACAAGTGTTACCGATGAATAATGATCAGAACGCCCGTCCACATCCACTAGAGGAAAACTCAGGAGTCCATGCCATTATTCTGGACAATCAATGAGTAACAACCAATGAATTGGTGCATCAGTCATTGTTCTGCTCATGAAATCATTGAAGTCCAACTTGGGTTTCATAAAGTTTGTGCAGGACGGGTTCCGAAACAACTCACAGATGAGCACAAGCACAAGTGTTGTGACGATCTGCCAAGGCCTACTGAACAGCTATCGTAATGAAAATGACGATATTTTGAGATGAGACATGAATGCACCATTACGCCTGTTTGGTCCACTGAAAAGAAGCTTCGAAGGCCGCCATTTTGCCAGTGACCAAGAACTGAAAAAAGTGGTGCAAGCATGGCTTATCACTCAACCAAATATTTTCTTTTCAGGACATACAGGAGCTTGTGGGTCACTGGACAAAGGATGAAGCAAAGTACACGGAATATATCGAGAAAGTGATGCTATTGTACAAACTCAGCATGTTTGCATTAGTTAACATAAAATTAAATGCAAAACTTTCAGACTGAACCTCATATGTGGTAAGCCAGACTTCACATCTCTCCAATTCAAACTTTTCTTAAAATCAGCATCTTTCCTTGCTGATGTCATAGAAGAACACACAAAAACTTGAAATTTTGGTCTGTGATACACAAAATTTTCATATGGAGGTAACAGACTTCATCAGTGTCTTCTCTCAAAGATTTTTACACTCTCTGCGTGTTGTCCGACGATCATGCCTGTCCATCTACTTCTGTCTCCCCAGAGCTCCCCATTCTTCAATTCCTTCCTACGTTCCTCCACCTTTCTGTGCGACATCTATCCTAACAGGCTGCACTGTCTCGATCTGTCTTCATCGAGGGGGCTTTCCTGTTACGATTATATTCAACGCCTTCTATTGGGATTACCCGTTTGTTCATTCTTAAAAAGTGTGCATACCATCTCATTTACTATTGCCCCCAAATTTTACTGTTACGAGGCGCGTCCACAAAGTAAGTGGTCAATATACCAACACCTGCCTCGGTCCATGTCAAAGTTCCTGCCCCATATGTTAATAATGGTACGTAGTAACTTTTAAATAGGTATATTTTCCCTTCCAGAATATGACCCTCATTAATTGGTACAATTTTCCTGCGAGTTTTATGCTTTCAGAGATTTCTTCTATAAGACTTGTATTTGTCGCTATTTTACTTCCCAAGTGTTTACAAATCTCCACTTCTTTTAGTTAATGATTATGACTAATTTCCATGCTCCTGTATTCTTTCTTATTGTCAAACCTGCATATTTATCTAAAGTAATATTTAATCCAAAATCTTTTCACTGAGAATGACCCTTGTGAATCACTTTTGGAGTGGTCTATAGCATAAAACATCCAACCCACGGACTTCACGATTTCTCATAGAAGAATTATGAGGAAAACAAAGGAGAATTCAGTGTCGTTTGTGGCGGTATACCGTCCCAACTCGCATCTGGCCAAGCGCCATTCTTTTTCCTGCCTGTTATGTTGGTATATAGAGAACATACTTGAGCAGCTGGAAG